GCATTTCTCACGCAATTTATGAGGAGGGTAAACTTACCATTAGAGTTACAATGGAACAGAGAACCGAGTTAAACTTCTTTCTTTGTATTTTGGGGAATCTGATGCATTCCTACACAATAGCAATAGTTACATTTGCCACAAATGAAAATGGATGAGAAACAGGTTAGTTGGCTCTAGCAATACTGCATTCAGTGATTTCTGAAGAACCATATACCAAGGTAAAATTGTGGTCCTTTACCTTGTTACCTGCTCTGTTGCAGGATCTAATGAAAGAGATTCAGCTTCTGGAAATCTGGGTCCACTGGCCACAGACAAAAGCATGTTGTGCATGAGGGACTCTCAGGTAGGCCCACAGGCCTTGTCAGCTTTCTGCCTGAGAGCCAGAAAAGAATGAGTTTTGGTGGCAGGCGATAGAGTCACATTCTCCCACAAACTCCAAATTGATTTAATAGCTTGTTATCATTCTCTGTAGGTGATCATTGTTCACCTGAGGGACAATGACCTCCACAAAGCAAACTCTAATCATTAAGCTGAAGGACATCTGCCAGATTTCAGCACTTTCTCCTGCTGTTTTCTTGCTCTAGTTAAGGGTGATTGGAGGAGGAATCTCCTGTTTGGCAAAGATCACTCCAGGACAGAAGGAAGCGAAACAGGAAACGAGCAACACTTTACAAGAAGGAATATGATTTCCCATTTTAAAGATTAAATGCATTTCTAGAGCTCTGTCTAAAGAAGGTGGAGCAAATCTGTATGATAAATGGTTAGATATCTGTCTTTAAGGCCCTCAGGCTTTGAAGCAGGTTTCCTATGTTGGTGGACGTCTGAACTGGCTCCTCTCTTTTCAAGGGAGTACAATCTGGGCACCTTCCTCAGACATTTCATGGTGATGGGACCCTGCCTCTCACATTCTGGGAAAGGAGGATAGTTTGAGATCTGGGCTTTGTGACCTGATTGCTAGTGACTATTGCCCTTTACTCTCTAAGATTTGTAGAACTTCGACTAGCAAATTCTGTAATAAAGAGGGATAAGGAAAATATGGTAACCAAGTCATATTGACTGATAGTTTAATAAAGGTGCTTCAGTTAGTTTGGCATGTTATCTAATTGGCTCTATATCCACAATCGAATACCTTTACTTTTACTCTTAGAGAAGACTAGTTGTCCAAATACCATGAAACAGAATAGAATTGGGGAAAACAGCTTTTCTTTTTTTGTAGTGTTGTTGTAAGGCCCAGTTAGTATTCAAGTACTGCTTAGTAAACCTAAAGTACTAAGTAAATATTAAGTCGAATCATTTCATTTCTTTCACCTGTCTTTCTTACCAGTGTTGTAACTTCATCCTTCCCCATCAATTCCCCCCGTAAATTCAGATTTAATTTACTGGGTGGAGAAAACTAAGAGCTGCTGTCCACCCAGCATCCCACTGCTTGTTTTGGCACACACATCCTGGGATGCAATATATATTTGTGACAGAATAATCTCCCCAAGTATTCATACTGAGGTTACATCCTCACCCGGAACATTATTTTCTATTGTCTGTGTGGTAATAATTACCTTGCCCACCACGAAGTTAGCCCAGAACAAATCCCTCTGTCTGGATTTTAAAAAGCTGTGGATAGTCGGTCCATGAAACTGCTTTCATCCTGGTCCAACAGCAGTAAATTTATCCCTGGATAAATCATGGCTATATGTTGCCATGATTTCAATTGCTTATTTTTCAGTGCTTGTTTCTCACACTCTGCAACATAAATCTGCTCATTTATACACAGCTGCCACAGTAGGATTTGTTCTGGACTCAAAAATTGCCTCTCTGTTCATGTGCCCCTGGCCACAGCTACCCTTAAAAACTGATGTTAGCATAGAATAAAGTGACTTTGAAAGTTAAACTGTTACTGTGAGTTCAGCAGACTTTGCTAGCGGATTTTGTCTTGCTCTATGCAAACAATCATTTATATGTGCAGTCAGTCAGAGATGCATATGCAGAGTAAGATATGGCATTACCTCTCATCTTCTCCCTTAATCGATTTCATCTCTTCTGTCCACAGTTATTCTTCCATAAGAAAAATTATCAGACCTCCTCCCTTCTTTACAATGTGCCTGTGGTGAGCTCTCCCAAATTAGGCACCAACAACTCTGGAATTCTGTCACAAAACTGAGTAACGGAAATACTACTTAAATACTTAAAACAGAGCAGCAGCCCAAACCACTGACAAATAAAAAAGATTGCTGCAAGACTTTCTTAAAATTCTTTTTAAATTTAAATGTTACTTCCCTTTCTACATGCAAGGGTTATTGCACTAGGAAAAATTAAACCTTTTACAATGATGTATTTCACTAGAGATCTCACTCTCATACCTCCAGCACTCTCATCAGGTTTTCTAGGTAAGTATGACAGAAATCAGTCATAAACTGGGATTTAGTATAAGTCACTGTTTAATGTAATTATGTCAAACATAAATCAATGCAGAACCACTGTTTTCCTGAACTACATTCTTAAAAATTTTAAAGATGCAGTGGAAGTCTCGTTCATTTCTGCGTAGTATTTTTGGAAAGTCTCCTTTCCTTATTACCACAGATGTATGACCTTTTTTGTCATACATACATGTCAGAAAAAAAAAGGGTATATAAAAAAAATAAACTTTAAGTACAACATGCATAAATCCCAGAGGCAAAGGGGCAAGAGTAGGGTTATTTAAAGACACAAGAAAAGCCTCAGGGGAAATTTGGATAATTTTCAAGGACAGGTATTAGAGCTGGCACATTCGGATTAATGACAACTAACTGAATTATTTGCACCAGGGTGCCAGTAATCGCAAGGAGGACATATATTCAGCGCTGTCAGATTTCTTTTATGCTCTAAGATCAAAAGCCCAGTAGTGTGTATGTAAGACAGCAACACCCAAAAATACTGACAGCAAGGACAACAAATATTTTCCATTTTAAAGTTATGTCTTACTAGAAACCACTCTCAGTTGTGCATAAAATATGTCACTGCTCTAGGGATTACAGTGTTATCAATAATTTGTCCTTATGATATTGCTGTAATTTATTGTTTTATTATTTATGTGTTGGCTTGGCAGAGCTAGAGATGCAAATCTCCTGTTCACAGGCGAGGCACTACCAGTGCCCCAAAACTTCGCCTCATTTGCGGCCCACAGAAACCATTCATTACACACAGGAGTTAAAAGTAAAGTTTAGCTGAGCTGGGTTAGTGGCATATTTACCAGAGACAAAATTAAACCTCCGATGCCTAAGTATTTGTTTTGTAGCATTTTCATATAATATTGAGGTATAAAAAGGACATTAGCTATACGTGGGTTACATGCCTATATAATATGTACCCAGCTCTCTGGGACTGTTTTTAAATTGGAATTTATCTTGGTGAGTGCGTGAAAAAAATCTTGGAAAAAACGATGAATAAGACTGCAGCCTGAAGGAGTTCATGGGCTGATTTCTATCCTCAAAAGAGCTCTTCAAAGACTTTCATCCTTTATGCTGCCAGCATGCTGTTCCATTTGCAAAGCAAAATCTCCATGCAGCTCTCCAGTGTCTGATGCAGTCTGTCCTTTTATACATGCTAGAGAAAAAAGGGAAGGTAGCATTCTGTTTTGCCTGAAACAGTCAGGAAAAAAAAAATAAGCATCTGTAGCAATATAGAATAAGTGATGCTGGAAACAAAGAATTAAAAAAGATGTATCTATCTAAAATATTTCATCAAAATACATGCTACTGCCTTTTATGATTTAGTACCTTTTATGGCTGTCTGCCAATGACAATATTATTGTTTTGCAGAAGTATAAGCAAAGGGATTCGAAAGCTTTTTCGACAAGTTCATACAATACTTCCTCATATATCTATTAATAGCAGGTGGCAACTGTCTGCATGGTTGAGGCACTCATCCCGAAAATCTTCAGGATGGAAGTATACTTGTCACAACACAGGAGCTTGGGACGTGCAATTACATCCACTCCTGCATACAAGGAATTCCTAGTCCATTACTGCGAGGCTGCAGCTGCAGACCAGTCACCTCTTCTAATTTTATGGTACTGTTTCCTCTCAAATCGCTGGATTTAGTTACTTAAGCAGGTACCTGACTTCCTGGCGCTTAAATTCCTTGCTGAATTGGGACCCAGTGCAGAAGTCTGTAGATCTGAAACATGGATTTGCAAACCAGCTGCTGCACCGTTTAATTTCACATAAAGCCTTATTATAAATGGTCTTTTATGAAAAAGCACATTCAGAATATTCTGTTCTTATTGGAAAATCCTTAAAGTTAATAACCAATCGTCTAAGATGCCAAGGATTTCACTGTCCCCGGGAACCATGTTTTGGGGGAAGTGGAGTACTTTATAGGACCTAGTGCTTGGTGTATTTATTTTTTCTGCGCTTCATGCTAGGAGGTTACAACATACACCACAAAAAAAAAATCAATTTTTCTATGCAAGGTAATATTGAATTAGAGAAAAAGGCACTCTAAGTCTTCAGATTACAGACAGGAGGAGGCAAAACTTAAACATCACATTTTAACTTACTCATTTTGACTGCCTTTGTGAGGCAATACAAATTCACTTGGCACGGATATCACCAGGTAGGTAATATAAGCAAAATTAAAATCAAAAAGCATTCAAACAACACTCAAAGTAATGAAAGCAATATGAGGAAATGGAGGTAAATACAGCAGAATTATTTAGAGAGCCATTAAACATGAAGTCTCAGGTAGGCTGCCGTATGTTTACAGTAATGAAAAATAAAAGACTTGGCAGTGTCTACTCAAATTAATGACTTCATTACTGCTGAAGTAAGGTATTCTCAAAAAAGAAAAAAAAAGCTGAGACTTTGATTTAATTTTGAAGACAAAAGTTGTACAAATTTAAAATATAATTTTGAAGGAAATCCCCTTGGTGAGCCCCAAAATTTACAGTATCGCTTTTGAATACATTTTCGAAGAGTTATTAAAACAACCCTTTTATGCTCTCTTCCTTATAATCACAGAACCATTACGATTGGAGAAGACCTTCAGGATCAGAGTCCATCCGCGAGCCCCCGTGTCCCCACGCGCCTCATCGATGCGTTTCTTGCTTGCTGCCAGGGACGGTGCCTCCACCACTTCCCTGGGCAGCCTGTTCCAATGCTTCACCACTCCTTCCCTGTAGGAATTCTTCCTAATGTCCCAACCTCCCCTGGCTCGACCTGAGGCCATTCCCTCTTGTCCTAGCGGTAGTTACTCTGGAGCGCACAACAACCTCCTTTCAGTTGCTGGGAGGGCGATATCCTTCCTTCCTCAAGGCACTCCGTCGTGCCCGCGAATCAGGCGCCTGCCCTTTCCGAGCACGCGGGGCCGGATTTTGACACCCGCGGAGCAGGGAGAGGAGATGCGTGGGGCAGCGCGGCGCGGGCGGCCGCCCCCGTCCCGCTCTGCGCAG